TTAAGATGTCCTCAAACCACCCCCCCAGGTGTCAGCTGGGCAAAGGAACAAATGGAGCAGGGCCATTGAGGGCTGTTTTGTATAGCAACAGTTTTGCAGCTAACCTCTGGCATGGTCATTTAACATATCTATAACCTCTTTTTTTAAAAAAAAATTATTTATCTTTAAAGGGGAAGGAGAGAGGGAGAGAAACATCAATGTATGGTTGCCTCTAGTGCATCCCCTGCAGGGAACTGGCTTGCAGGGAACCTGCCTGCAACCCAGGCATGTGCCTGACTGGGAATCGAACCTCGATCCTCTGGTTCACAGGCCTGTGCTCAATCCACTGAACTATACCAGCCAGGGCTATCTATAACCTTTAACTGGTTTCATAGATATGTTAAATAGCTGTGGCCATGATCTGAGCCAGGGGGATGGAAGTGACTTCCACCCAAGACGTAACTGGGGGGCAGGTCCTTCGAGTTACAGCACCTGCATGAGAGCTTGGAATTGGTAGGCTCCATGCCAAGGGGCCACACCTGCCCAGACTCACTATGGCAGCCCAGTAAAGCTGGGAGGATATGGGGAGTCCTGGCAGGTATAACCAGTTCTACGAGGAGTCAGAAATGGGGTTGCAAAGGAGGACTGGCATGGGAATTTAAAGGCAGACACAGCAGCCATTGAAGAGAGAGCCACTCGGTTTTGGGCAGAGTGAGGACCGCCTCTTGCCCAGGTGGCAGAAATAACCATGAGGCTTTGCCAGAATGGGGACCCCTGCAGCCAGGTGAAGAAGAAAGCCATGTGCTTTTGGCAGAAGGTAGAAGAGGCCCCTGCGGCTTTGGTAGAAGAGGCCCATGTGGCTGTGGGGTGCTCCCTTTCGCTGTGTGGCCTGGAAAACAGGAGAGACTTTGCCTGGAAGAAGGGTGAAGGAACTCTTTGCCAGTAAGCCATGAGAAGGTGCCACATGACTTTGGATTAATTGAAGATCCTGCTTGGACAGTGACATAGCTGATGGTGCCAGCGGCCTGAAACACAGACGTGTGCTTCTTTTCCTGAGATACAGTACCCTGAATTAGGGCAGGGGGGAAGGAAGCTCTGGGGGTGTCTGTGGTTATCCTAAAGTACTTTGATATTTTAATGGGGACATTGGGTCACTACTTTAAGTCTGTATAGCTTTAAATAAACCTTTCCTCTCTTTTTCACGAATCTCTGGCATTGAGAAATGTGTTTTTCTCTGGCAGTGGTCAGACAAGGCCAGTAGGTATTAGTATACTGTCCTTGGGAGGGGCCCCTGTTGTTCTGTAGCAGTTTTTGGCATCCCTGGGTGGGCCAAATATTGCCCCTGCCTTGGATCTCTGTTATGTAACAGTTCCTGGCAACCACAAGGGGATGACAATTGTCTGTGGCAGACTGACCCCCTCAGATGGGAGAGAGTGAGACTTCAAAATTTTCCCAGCCTCTGAGATTTTCTCTGCACTCTTGAGGGCATCAGCCGCCTAGTCATGCCCAGAAAGGTGAAAAGGAAACAAAGTGGGGAGGAAGCAGAGATGTGAAAGTTGAGGGTTGAAAACTTGGTTTCTGACTGCTCTTTTGCACTAATGGAGCTAGAATTGTGGGTGATAGCAGGGGAAATACCTAGTCTTTACGCCATCTGTATTCTTTTTGATCTGAATCTTTGTTTGCTTTGTTGGAACTGTGTGAGTAGTTCTGAGCCGTTGCCTAAGTGGAGTCCACTGGGTAGAATCCTAAGAGATTGGGAGAGCTACCATGCTAAGTTGACATATAGGAATTTCTTGATTAAGCAGTTAATGATTTATTATTTTAACACGGTGTGGCCTACTTATGTTTTGAGTGATGAGCTGAGATGGCCTGTGAATGGTTCTTCGAGTTACTGCATTATTACTAGATTGGAACAGTATTGCTGGCAGTGTGAACTCTCGGAAGAGTTACACTACCTTAATGCATTTATAATATTGCACAACAGCCTTGTGCCAGAGACAGAGAAGTGTGTAATGGTCCAAAAGAAGAAAGAGGTCTCAGAACCCCTCCCTGATAGTAGATCACAGGAGCAAAAAGATGATGAGGAAAGAAACCTCATTAATGCTCTGAACCCAGGGAATGAGGGACCCCAGAAAGCAGGAACTCCGGTGGTGATGCTGCCTTCTGGGGAGGTGAGGCCCACTATGGCTTCTCCCACCCTGCAGTGGGAGAAATCTCCACCATGGGTTCGCAGCCTCTGCAAGTGGGCTCTGCTCACCTGCTGCACCAGGGGTTGGCAGGGGCCTCTTTGGCTCCAGAAAATGGGGCTGCAGGGCCCCCATCTTCACAGGTGAGTGGAGCCTGCTCTCCACCTGCATTGGTGACTGCAGCCTCAGTGCACCACCCCCACTGGGTAGAGGGCGGTTTTGTGGTGCCCCCATGCTTGCAGGTGGAAGGGGCCTTAGGGGCCTCCAGGGCCTTCTTAGCTCTGGAGACTGGAGCCAGAGCCTTGGGGCTGCTAATGCAGGTGGGTGGAACCAGAGTTGGGATGCTGCCATTCTGGGTAAAATGGACGAGCCAAGTGAGTGCCCCACCATGGAGGACAGAGCATTAATGGGCGTCACCATCTTGGATGACCCTGCATGCATGGGCGCCACCATCTTGGAGCTGGATAAGGTTTCTCTTCAGATTATGGGCTGTATGCTGCTGCTGTGTGGAAACTGCAGCAGTCAGGTTCTCTGTGTAACTCGTTCTGATAGAAATGGTTCTTGTTCTGGAGGTCATGAACTGAGGTCCAAAGGTGACCATCTGATTTATAGGGTGTTTGCAAGGTCTAAGCTTCAGAAAGGTGCAAGATGTCCCTGCGAATCTAGGGACTTTTAGTGGAAGGTACCTATAGCACTAGAGACTTTTGGCTGCCACATACTGAGTTTAAGTACTGAGTTTAAGTATAGTCCTTCCCAGTGTGGGAAAGGAACCAAGATTAAAAGAGAATGATGGTTAAATCTATATGAATAGAAATATGTATAAGGGATGTGAAAGTTTTAAACCTGGAGTAAAGGAAACCTCAACTACCTTGTTTTCCTGGTTTTGAGGGGAAAAAAGCAAATTTCTCACATGTGGTTCTGTTTCTGATCAGAAACCTGTATTGTAAGACGTAGGAAAAGCCACCACAGTCGGTTGGGGAGAATGCCTTTGCCACCTGGAACCCAGGAAGGGTCATTTGGGGCTGATAAGTGTTTCAGCCAGAGGCAAAGAGCATGTCTCTGCAAGGCATCAGTGGATGCATGGATGCAAGAGAATGCGTCTACCTGTGTATTGTTCCAGAACTCTGTGTTTCATATTTAGCTCTGTATCTGCTCTGATAAAGGAAATTGAGGATTCCAGAAAAGGTTGAAACTTCATACTCCATAGGAAAGTCAACAAGGGAAAGTGTAAGGTATGTAAATTAATAAAGTGTATAAAAGAATGTAGAAGTTTTTTGGATGTTGTAGAAGGTCTGTGGAAAGTTGTACAGATAGAAGAGAGTGTGTAAAAGGTTGTAGAAGGTTGAGAAACTTTTGGAAAGGAATTATGTGGGGTTAGTAATGGAAGGTAAAAGGCATGGAGATGCAATCTTAGTGGGTATCAGAAGGAAAAGAATTTTCCATCATGCTTTGTATTTTTCTCCCTACCTGATCCCTCCAGAATTTGGCATTCTGAAGGATGAATGATGGCATAAGGCTTCTTTGCATAAAACCAATAAGACCAGTCATTAATAGTGGTTTTATTAACCAGGACTTTGACTGGAATGTCAGGCCTGAAGGAGGCATGTATTGTTACCAGAAATCCCTGAGAAACTGGGATTGACCTGTGAAGCTAATAAAAGCCCACAAGAAAAGCCTGGTACTTTAGTTAGTTGTGTGGTTCCAACCAGCCTTTCCAGTGAAGGAACGAAAGTTGCTTTCCTGAAAGATGGCTTAAAAGGAACCTGTAAGCACAATGGAGGCTCAAGGATTTGAGTGAAATGACTGGTACAGGTAAAGCCAGATGGCAGGTGTGTGACTCTGCTTCTGTGCCCTGAGGGGTGGACTGAGAAGTCAATCTAAGGGTTCCCTGTGTGAGTTCCAGCAAAGTGGACTTAGGGATCATAAGTGATCCAGGCTGCTCTTGGTGTGCTTATGCAAACGAACAGTCAAAATCAAAAGTGGGACCCAAAGCAGTCCCTGTAATAACTGAGGGTGATCTTAAGGGGAAAAACTGTGGCTCAAGGAAAATCACAATGCTCAGTATTGGACATCAGAATGGCACAGCTAACTGTCTTGAAAGTTTGTTTTCATTTGAAAGTTGAAATGGGGTTTGTGATATCACCAAAGATGTACAATTTACAGGTTCATAGGACCTGTCAAATTGCCATTGTTAAGATGTCATTGCAGCAAAGGCCTTGCAATGGAATGTCTTCCCAAAAGACAGTCTCACAGGCGCAGAGACTGGTTTGAGGATTGTTGTGTGAATTAACCAGTGTGTTCTTCTGTTTTCATAGGGCGTATGCCTATGACCTGCCTATGCCTATGAGTGATTGGTTGTAAATATAGGCCTCACTTAAGGAGCCCATCTTTGTCTTTGCCCCCCTGAGACTCAATGGTTTGGCTGAACTAAGTAGTTGGTTTGGTGAAGGGTTGGGGCGGTCTGTGGGCTTCACTTTAGGACTGATTTTCCCTTTTCTGTCTTGATGGCTTGGACAGAAAGGGCTCAGAAATCTGAAAGGAAGGAAATCCTAATGTATTCCCCTCAGCCCAAGTGAAGTATAGTGGGCCACAAGAGTTTTGGAGAGGTGTAGCCTGCCTTGTACACCTTCCTCCAGATAAGCTGTTCTTTACTGAAGTCCTGCCTTTGTCATTTTTAACAGTAATGATTTAACTGTGCTTCCAATTTCTTGCCTAATCTATCACCTCCAGAATATGACCTGAACAGAATGCCAACGGTCCAGTATTGCCAGCCTTTGGACACCAAGCCTGCAACTTCCTGGTGAGAGCCAACTGACCAGGATCCTTCCTTCTTTTTACAGGAAGGACTCCCTATGTGCTGCACATCACCCCCTTACTGGGCACCTCTAACCCAAGGATAGGTAGGACAACATCCATGTCTAGAGGGAAGTAGTGACAAGAAGGTGAAACCTTCATTTATTATGCTTTATATGATTATAAAGTGGGTGTATATCTGAAAGGAGGAATTGATACAGGGTGCAGCCAAGAGGGGGGGTTGAAATAGGGATTTGGAATGGGGCCAAGAATGTATTAGAAAGACATATAAGATGTCCTTACCCCTTCCCACTGAGGTGTGAGTTGGGGGAAGGGACACATGGAGCAGGAACATACAGAGCAGTTTAGTGCAGCCACAGCTTTGCAGCTAATCCACAGCATGGTCATTTAACATATTTATAACCTTTAACTGGCTGCATAGATACGTTAAATAGCTGTGGCCATGCACTGAGCCAGGGGGATTAAAAGAGATTTCCCCCTAAGATGTAACTAGGTGACAGCGCCTGCATGAGAGTTTAGACAAGATTGGCTCCATGACATGGGGCCACACCTGTCTAGACTCAGGATAGCAGCCCAGTAAACTTGGAGTAATACAGGACTGCTGGCAGGTGTCACTGATTGGAGGAGGTGTCGGAAATGGGGGTAAGGACAAAGATTGGCATGGGGATGTAAACCCAGACCTGGCAGCCACTGAGGGAGATCCACGTGGCTGTGGCAGTGTGGGGAGAGCCACACGCTTTTGACCAAAGTGGGGACCTCTGCAGCTCTGATGGAGAGAATAACCATGTGGTTTTGGTCAGAGTGGGGCCCCTGCAGCTTTAGTAGAAGAGGATCATGTGCCTTTGGGGTGCTCTCTTTGGAACACCTGGCCTGGGGAGCAGGAGATACTTTACCTGGAAGGAGGGTGAAAGAACTCTTGCCAGTAGGCTATAAGAAAATTCCATACGGCTTTGGAGTAATTGGAGACCCTGCCTGGACGGTGACACAGCTGACGTTTCCAGTGGCCTGAGACATGAACGTGTGCTTCTCTGGAGATACGGTACCCTGAATTAGAACAGGGGGTTTAAGGAAGCACAGTGGGGATCTGTAGGTATCCAAAAAAACTTTTATATATTAATGAAGACATTAGGTCACTACTTTAAGTCAGTATAGCATTAAATAAACCTTAAATTTCCTATTGACAAATCTCTGGCATTTAGAGTTGTCTTTCCTATCTGGCGGCAGACAATGCAGCCCAGTAGAAGGTTTCTTGGGTAACAGTATACCATTACTACCCACCCCCTGGCCCTGTATGTGTGCGCTTTTTGCTGTAACCTTTTTTGGAAACTCTCATGGGACAATAATTGTCCGTGGCAGACCGACCCCCACAGATGTGAGAGAGTGAGGCTTCTGAGTTTTCCCAGTCTCCAGTAGATCTCTGCAGTCCTGAGGGCATCAGTTACCTAGTCACGCTAGGAAAGGCGAGAAGGAGAAGAAACGGGATGGAGCAGAGACATGAAAGATTTTTGTTCGAAAACTTGGTTTCTCAGCACCATTTTGGAATAATGAAGTTGTGGACAATGGTTTTTTTCAGCATGCTGCTTCCAGGTAGGCCCTGTCTGCTCACTTGCAGTCTTAGCGACCCCAGGTGGCAGTAAGGAAAGCTGTATTCAGGTTTTTGGAGAAAGCAAACCCCTAGGCTCTGTAAGCCAAGCCTGCATGTATGTTGGGGATCGGACAGCAAGCCAGGGGGGCGTGACCTGCATTTTTTCTCCGCCAGTGGAACCCAACTCTCTGCAGGTAGAAGGTGACTACAGACTTGTGCCACTGCCAGCACATCAGGGCTAAACCAGAGTCGGGGTCCCACCATTTTGGGTAAGATGGAGGGTGAGCCATGTGAGTGCCCATTCATGGAGGGGTGGTCAAGCATGGGCGTGGCTATCTTTTGATGACCTATCGTGTTTAGGCATCACCATCTTCAACACCCCAGCGTACTTGGGTGCTGCCATCTTGGACGACCTGGCGTGCTTGGGTGGTGCCATTTTGAAATTGGGTGAGGTGGTTGGCTAAGGTTTCTCTTCAGATTACGGGCTCTATGCTGCTGCTGTGTGGGCACTGCATCAGTCATGTTCTTTGTGTAACTTGTTCTGATAGGAATGGCTGTGGTTCCGAAAGTCATGAACTCAGGTCCAAGGGTGAGCATATGATTTATAGGGTGTTTGCAATATCTAAGCTTCAGAAAGCTGCAGGATGTCCCTGTGAATGTAGAAACTTCTTTTTAAAGGTACCCATAGTACTAGGGGCTTTTTGCTACCACAAACTGAGTTTAAGTATGTAGTTTAAATATAGTCCTTCCTATGTGAGAAAGAAACCAGGATTAAAAGTGAATGATGGTTAAATCTGAGTGTGTAACATTATGTATAAAAGATGTGACAGTTTTCAACCTGGAGTAAAGAAAATCTCAAATAATTGTTTTCTGATTTCTTGAGAAAAGAGCAAATTTCTCATGCTGATTTTGTTTCTGATCAGAAACCTTCTGTATTGTGATACCTAAGGAAGGCTGATGAGACCTTCAAGCTGAGGCAAACCAGCAAGTCTCTACCATTGGTTCTGTTTCTGATCAGAACCCCTGTGTATCTGAAGACCTAGGAAAGGTCGCCTATAACCAGTTGGGGAGAATGCCCTTGCCACTCAGGACCCAGGAAGGGTCATTTGGGGCTGATGTGTGTTTCAGTCCAAGGCAAAGCAGCATGTCTCTTCCAGGAGACCAGGCCTGAAGGGGCTTATCTCTGCAGGGCACCAATGGATGCCTTGGTGCAAGAGAATGCCTCTTCCTGTCTATTGTTCTGGAACTCCGTGTTTTGGATTTTGCTCTGTATCTGCTCTGAAAAGGAAGCTGAGGATTCCAAGGAAGGTCAAAACTTCATACTCCATTGGAAAGTGAACAAGGAAAAGGATTTTCCTTCACACTTTGTCTTTTTCTCCCTACCCTATCCCTCCAGAATTTGGCATTCTGAAAGAATGAGCGATGACATAAGATTTCTTTGACATAAATCCAATAAGACCAGTCATTAATAGTGGCTTTGTTAACAGAGATTTAGACTGGATGGGGACACCTGAAGGAGGCATGTATGGATTATGGTTGTTACCAGAAGTGGGATTGACTTGCAAAGCTAGCAAAAGCCCACAAGAGAAGCCTGTTAGTTTGGTTGGTTGTGCAGTTACTGGCGGTCTTTCCAGGGAATGAATGAAGGTTGCTTTCCTGAAAGATGACTAAAAAGGGACCTGTGGGAATAATGGAAGCCTCAAGGATTTGCATGAAACAACTGGTACAGGAGAGGCGAGATGGAAGATGTGTGGGTTTGCTTCTGTGCCCCAAGTGGTGGACTGAGAAGTCAATCTGAAGGTTCCGTGTGAGTTCCAGCAAAGCATACTTAGAGATCATAGGTAATTCAGGCTGCTCTTGATGTATAAATATTTTATGTGGCTTTCTTTCTACCCACAGCCCCATTTCTGAGTGATTTTTTTGAGATAAAGTCTTGTATGACAGCAAACTTCCTATGTACAAGCATTGTTTACCTGACTACCCAAGTTCTGACTTTTATGGCATAACACAAAACAACACATTCCAGACCTGTTTTTCTGAAAGTGAGCACTGTTCATCCCCTTGGCTCAAGGTGACTCTGCCAACATCTAGTTTGTGTCATGGTAGTATCCCTTTATTTTTATGAGACACAGTTTGCATGTCTGAAAATTGTATGATAGAAAATAAACCTTGTGTAATTGTAGATGGCTTAAATGGATAAGTCATGGCAGGTTTCCCCCTTATGATTTTTCTGCAGAATATGCAGCTGGCCCAACTGTGGTTATTGTATTTCATAAATTTCAACTTTTCATAAATTACTTATTTTTATGCTTATTTACCTGTGGCCATTATGAGTTTTAAGAAGTACATGAAAAACAACTTTAAAGAAGCTTGTGATGCCATTTTGGGGTCCTGGTTGGTGTTTTGCAGTGGCCAGATAAGGCATTCATACAAACAGCAAAATTTCCAAGGCCCACTCAGATTTTTCATATGATTTTGAATACACTTCATTCTGAAAACTATATATTATACACCTGCTAATGCAAACACATTCTGAGACAACTTGCAATGCTATTGAAGGGGGCAGAATAAAATCTGTTAACCTCAGTTTCAGTAGGAGAGTCAGGCAATTGTAGGAGTCATTGTTTGAAATCTCTTGCCATAGGTCACTTGTTGTATTTTCATAGTGTTTTTTTGCATCTGGTGACATTTTTTGAATGGTGACTAGTGGGATGGATCAGGATGGAACACAGGACCATATAAAAAGGGAGTGACTTTTGTATCCAGAAGAAAAACCTCATGTTTCTACAGAACATAGGTTTAATTGGAGAGCATTAGTTTGTGAGTGAGTAAGGCATGGCAGAATCCTAGATTTGCTCCAAGTCAATCCTAATTTGTGTCTTCTTCTATTTGTTCTCATTTCAGGTGCTGGCTCCACTGTGGTGTCCATCACCAGTATCTTCACCATCAGTGGTTTGTGCCATAAAAGGACATGCGGCTAGACCCTGTACAGTCAAGTTCCACATAGTCACTTGCATAAAACCTGATTAGAAACACTGGTCAGATAGCTCATTTCTTTTCCAGGTTCAGCCAAAGCCTCCTTGAGTTTATTTGTACATTCGTAGAGGATATATAGAGATGAAAGTGTATATACTTCCAAGTCTCAAATTTTGGAAGTGCCTAAACTAGGTGGTCATTTTAATGTCTAAAACTTGCATTTTGTGATTTTTTATCTGAAATACTGAGATTAAAATGGACTTGACTCAAAATGTGTTTGGAATAATAAATGTGAAATGGCATTTTTAAAAAGTAGTAACTTTCATTTATGATACTATGTATGAATAATTTAATTGTGAATAATGTTCTTAAATGCCACTTTAAAACTTATGACATCATAAATAATTAATAAAGGATTTTCTTGTCGTAGCTGGTGTCACTCAGTGTAGTGAGCTTTACCCTGTGAATCTGAAGTTCGCTGGCACATACCTGGGATGCATGTTATGTCCCATTTTGGGAGCACTTGAGAGGCAACAGATGAATGATCTCTCACACATTAATGTTGCTATCCCTTTTTGTCTCTCTCAATTCCCCTCTTTCTAGAAGTAAATAAACACAATTTTTTTTCAAGAAAAGGCTTTGGTTAATAATTTACTATGCAAATCACTGTGTAAGTTTGGTTGCATCAAGAGGAAACACCTCTAAACACAAGGCATTTGACCATTAATATGAGTTTTTAATTTGTATTTCTCTAATGATTATTGATATTGAGAATATTTTCATATGTCTATTGACCTGTTATGCCCCCTTTGCAGAAGTGTCTATTCATGCTCTTTTCCATTTTTCAAAATTCGATAGTTTCTGTTTTGGTGTTAATTTTCTACATTCTATAAATTTTGGATGTCAAATCCCTATCAGATGTAGTGGCAAATTCCATTTTCCTAATTCCAGCAACGTTGATGTGATTATGGGCCAATCTGCACATTTCACCTTATGGACATGCAGTCACTCAGGGAATACAGCATAAAGTGTTAGGGATGACAAAACTTGGTGATATTTCTACCTCTCCAACAGGCATCACATTTTCTGAGAGACTAAATGATTTCTCTTCAATGCCTCTGTTGCTCTTTTACATATCCACCTGTTCCCATTTTTCTAGTGGATTCTTTGCCAGACAGGATGAGAATAATGTCAAATTGCCATCTGGCTATTAACTGGGTCTACACCCACATGCCATGCAAGGAAGCAACCCCAGGAGACAGACAAAATGTATTAGGTTGGGGATGAAAGCACAGTGGAAGGGAAGATTTATGGAAGGATTCCTCCAAGATGAGGTCCTTCTTACTGCTTTACACACAAAGTCACTGTGACAAAGGACACATACTCTCTCCACTGTTTTTCTGTGGTTTTTAAAAATAGTTTGAAGACAGGGACTTCCGCCAAGATGGAGGTTTAAGGTGGATGTGCCTGCCTCCTCATACAACCAAGTTTAGGGACAACTAAATATTAGCATCAGAAAACACAGCCAGAACATGGAAAACTGAACTTTTCAGAAGTCCGCTAACAACAAATTCTTCAGCCCGACTGGTAAGGGGCGAAACCGGCGTCGGGTGAGGAGTTACAAAGGAGTCAACCCGGGCGCGAATCCAGTCGCACGGGTTCCAAACCCAGGATTGGACCTAGTGAGCTACCGAGCGGCCCACCGGGTGAGCGACTATGGAGGAGTCAGTGGGGAGGCAGTGGCAGCAAGTTGACTGAGGTTGCATGGTTGCACGCAGGTGAGGGAGTGAGCGCCTGGACCGGCGGCGGCTGCGCCATTGCCATTTCCCCGCTCTGACCACGCCCCCACATACAGCGTCACAACCAGCAACCTGGGAATCCAAGGCGCCGCTCCTCCCACTTAAAGGGCCAGAACAGACCAAAAATGTTGCAGGAAGACCTCAAAGCCCCAGAGATAAATCTAAGTGACGAAGAAATAGCAAATCTCTCAGACGCACAGTTTAAAACACTGGTCATCAGCTTCCTCACAGATCTGGTGGACTATAGCCACAAATTAGAGAAACATATGAAGGCTAAATTAAGGGAAATGAATGGAATTCCACAGGAAAACCATAGAGATGAAAAAAAAACTGGGACTCAAATCAATGGAGTGAACCAGAAGGAAGAAAAAAATGATCAATCAGAAAGGAAGGAAGAAATAAGAATTCAGAAAAATGAGGAGAAGCTTAGGAACCTCCAGGACATCTATAAACGCTCCAATATCCGAATTATGGGGGTACCAGAAGGGGGAAAGACACAACCACCAGTGGAAAAACTATTTGAACAAATAATAAAAGAAAATTTCCCCAATCTGGCAAAGGAAATAGACTTCCAAGAAATCCAAGAAGCTCAGAGAGTACCAAAAAAGTTGGACTCAAGAAGAAACACACCAAGGCATATCATAATTACATTAGCCAAAATTAAAATGAAGGAAAGAATCCTGGAAGCAGCAAGAGGTAAGGGGACAATCACCTACAAAGGAGTCCCCATCAGGCTGTCAGCAGATTTCTCAAAAGAGACCTTACAGGCAAGAAGGGGCTGGAAAGAAATATTCCAAGTCATGAAATCCAAAGACCTACAACCAAGATTGCTCTATCCAGCAAAACTTTCATTTAGAATGGAAGGACAGATAAGGTGCTTCTCAGATAAGACCAAATTCAAGGAGTTCATCATCACCAAGCCCTTATTATATGAATGTTAAAGGGACTTATCTAAGAAAAAGAAGTTAAAGAAACATGAACAGTGAAAGGACAACAAACTCACAGTTATTAACAACCACACCTAAAACAAAAGCAAACTAAAAGGACAGCTAGATCAGGAGTGGAAACATAGAAATGAAGATCTCAAGGAGGGGTTAGCAACAGGAGAGTGGGAGGAGGAGAGATGGGGGGAGAAGGTACAGAAAACAAGTAGCATAGACAGTAGATAGAAAATAGATGGGGGGGGGGGGGGGGCAAGAATAGTATAGGAAATATAGAACCTAAAGGACTGGAGACACATGGACATAAACTAAAGGGGGGTAATGGTGGGGTTGGGGGGGCAGGGTGGAGGGGAATGAAGGGGGGAATAGAACAACTGTAACAGCATAATTAATTCAAAAAAAATAAATAAATTTATTTTAAAAAATTAAAAAAAATAAAAATAGTTTGAAGACAAAATGTACTAATTATTATTTAAATATTTGGCAGAGTTCACCTATAAGCCATCTGGTCCTGGGACTTTGTTTTTTGAGATTTTTGATTATGGCTTCACTTTCACTGCTGGGAATTGATCTATAGACTTTCACTGTTTCTTTCTAGTTGAGCCTTCAGGAGCTCTATGTTATTGACAAAGTTCCATTTTATCTAGATCATCAAATGTGTTAGTATGTAATTGTTCATACTGTTTTTTTCATGAATTTTAAAACCTGTGGCATCCTTTGAGAATTTCCTTCTCATTTTTATATCTGTTTTATTGATTATGCCATTACAGCTGTCCCTTTTTTTGTCTCTATTATTCCTCTCCTCCCTGTACTCCACCTCCCACCAGCATTCCCCCCACCTTAGTTCCTGTCCATGGGTTATACATATAAGTTCTTTGGCTTATTCATTTCCTATACTATTCTTAACCTCCCCCTGTGTGTATTTTGTACCTACCATTTCTGCTTCTTATTCCCTGTACCTTTACTTGAATTCTGCTCCCCATTCCCCACTACTGATATCCTTCAATATGATCTCCATTTCTGTGAATATATTCTTGTTCTAGCTATTCCCTTAGTTTGTTGTTTTTGTTTTGAGGCTCAATTGTTGTGAGTTGTGAGTTTACCATTCTACTGTACAAATTTTTTTATCTTCTTTTTCTTAAATTAGTTGCTTTAAATTTGATATAATGAGGGCTTGGTGTTGATGAACTGCTTTAACTTGACCTTATCTGGGAAGCGGTTTATCTGCCCTGCCTATCTAAATGATAGCTTTGCTGGGTAGAGTAATATAGCTCGTAGGTACTTGACTTTCATGATTTTGAAAACTTCTTTCCAGTCCCTTCTTGCCTCTATGGTTTCTTTAGAGAAATCAGCTGACAGTTTTATGGAAACTCCTTCATAGGTAACTGCCTCCTTTTCTCTTGTTGTTATTAACATTCTCTCCTTATCCTTGATCTTGGTTAATGTAATTATGTTGTGTGTTGGTGTGTGCTTCCTTGGGTCCAAATTTCTTGGGAGTCTCTAACCTTCATGGTCTTCCTGGAAGTCTGTTTCCTTTTCCAGATTATGGAAGTTCTCTTTCATCTCTGTTTTCAGATAAGTGTTCAATTTCTTGCTCTTCCTCTTCCTCTGGCACCCTTATGATTCAGATGTTGAAATGTTGAAAATTCTCCCAGATATTCCTAAGGCTCTCCTCACTTTTTTTTTTTTAGATATACATTTAGGGGAATTTTACTTCAGTATTGCACATAATACATAACAAATACATAGTTTATGTAATGGGCTAAAATATTATCAGAACATTCTAAAAAGTAGAATGGCCTTTGAGAAGCACTTGATCCTGTACAGAAACCCTAGGTCCATCTTGATTATCGTACAGTATCTTCCTCCTTCCCCCTCCACTAGATCATGACCATTATCAACACTATGTAGCATTTTTATATTATTTTGATCAATTTTTTTACAAATCTGCATCTTCTATAGATTGTGAATTAACCTCCTGAGGGTGAGGCCTTAATTATTTTGGTATCCTCAGTGCCTCAGACATATAGGTGTTTGATTAATGTTTTCTTAATTGAAGAAAAAAAATCCAATACATGTAACCTTATACAGCATACACATGTCTCTAAAAACAGTATGGTTTTGTTTTTTCAATAAAATAGTGATAAAGTTTAATCTTAATTTTTATTTATATAGTGGTGGAAAATTCTTTTTTTTTAAATTTTTTATTGATTATGCTGTTACAGTTGTTCTATTCCCCCTTTCATTCCCCTCCACCCTACCCCCCATCCCCACCATTACCCCCCCTTTAGTTTATGACCATGTGTCTCTAGTTCTTTAGATTCTATATTTCCCATGCTATTCTTGCCCCCCCATCTATTTTCTATCTACTGTCTATGCTACTAATTTTCTGTACCTTCTCCCCCCTTCTCCTCCTCCCACTCCCCTGTTGCTAACTCTCCTTGAGATCTTCATTTCTATGTTTCCACTCCTGATCTAGCTGTCCTTTTAGTTTGCTTTTGTTTTAGGTGTGGTTGTTAATAACTGTGAGTT